AGGCCGACGGGTGAACGTGGCCAGGTGGCGGCCCGTCCGAGAGCAAGTGCATTGGGTCACACGCTGACCTCCAGGGGCGAACTGGTCAACCCATGCGTCCTGGAGGTCAGCTCCACTCACCAGGTTCGTAGAGAACGAGGGGAGGTGGAGTCCCGACAGCAAGCCCGACGGGGCCGCAGGACACGGTAGAACCGTAGAAGAGTGCATAAGGACTGGGCCCCCAGAGGGGTCAGCCAGGGAGACTGCTACAGGCCGACTGAGCAGCGTGAGCGTGGTGCTGTCTCTAAAGAAAGAGCGCGAAGCACCAGAGTCAAGTGCGAAAGTGTGCAAGGCCTCAGTAGGTGCAGTACCAGAGAGAGCAGACTCACCAGCACCTGGAGCAGCAGACTCACCAGTACCTGGAGCAGCAGACGCACTAGCACCTAGAGCAGCAGCCTCAATGCCCGGGTCGGGCGGGACACTCAGGTAACAGTCACCCTCAGCACTATCAGTCAAAGCATACATGGCAGCAAGGATAGCATCGAAATCAAGATCAAAGATAGCAACATTCTGCCTAAGCAGATCACCCCAGCGAGGGAGCTCAACAGCGTCAGGAAACTGGGCGTGCCAAGCGTCATTCAGTCGACAGAAGCAGTGCTGTGCAGTGTATGACAGCTCGCACGTCTCACCACGACGACTGCCGGTGCGAAGAACGTAAGTGCAGGGACCAGCACCCCCAGACCTCCCACGCCCAGCGTACCACTCACGAAGCTGCTGGGCCGACGGGGTCTCACGGGAACGCGGCTGCTGCTGGCGCTGGCTACCACCAAAGCCTCCACGCTGCGCGGCTGCACCTCGACCAGCACCACCGCCGCCGCCACCTCCACCACCACTGCCGCTGCCTCCACCATTGCTGCCGCTGCCTCCACCACCTCCGCCGCTGCCTCCACCACCTCCACCGCCGCCACCGAAGCCCCCACTCCCGGCACCACCCCCACCTCCACCGCCACCCCCTCCGCCTCCTCCACCGCCTCCGCCGCCGCCCCCGCCGTCCCCTCCACCACCCTTGCTCCCCTTGCCCTTGCTGTTGCGGCGCCTCCCACTAGGGGCAGACGCAGCTCCGACCTCCTCAGTGCCAACGAGGTCGACAGCAGCAGCAGAAGCAACAGAGGGGAGAAGGGGGACAGGGGAACACCCCTCAAAGAAAGGGGTGCGACGGTCGCCGCGAGAAGCACCTACAGCTAAGATACTCTTCTCAGCTGCAGCGAGGCGCTCCTCTAGGAGGTCGACAGTGAGCCCGGTGGGGCAAAGGGAGAGAAAGTGGTCCCTGACTGAAGAAAGGGAGTCAGCGAGGCGGTTGACTAGGTAGTAAAGGGTGATGTACATGGGGGGAGGTTCTAGGCACAGAACTCAGTGGGAAGGGCAGCGCGGTAGTGGGCGTCACTAGTGCGGAGGTGAGCAGTGAGGTCAGCGACTGTGGCAAAGGCGGCAAGGTCAGGGAAAAGGTACGGCAGCATGAGGCGGCTGAGGGCAGCAGTGGCAGGGGAGGAGTAGCGCGCAACTACAGCGTCGTACAAAGACTGAGCAGTCTTGTACTGGCCAAAATGCGCGCGCTCAGCAGGCGGCAGGTGACTACGAACAGCAAGACGAGCAACCGCGTCACGAGTGGTCCACTGCGAGCGAACCGTACTGTCAGCACTGGCAGTAGGTGCAGTAGAGACACCGGAAGTGTGATCGAAAAGGGATACCCCATCCCTAGAGTCACACTGAAGAAAGAGCTGTAGGCTTTCAACCCACACGTCAAAGTCAAATGCACGCCCCTCAGCATCAAACGTGAGAACAGTAGGGCTAGCCATAGTAGCAGTAGCAGCAGTAGCAGTAGGAGCAGTAGAAGCAGCAGTAGCAGCAGTGGCAGCAGAAGCAGAGCAGGCAAAAGGGCAGTGCGGCACGGATCGGCAGGGCAGCGCGGCTCGGTAGGCACGGCGCGGCTCGGCTGGGCGGTGCGGCTCGACAGAGCGGCGCGGCTCGGTGGGCGGCGCGGCTCGGCTGGGCGGCGCGGCTCGGCCGGGCGGCGCGGCTCGGCTGGGCGGCGCGGTTCGGCTGGGCGGCGCGGCGCAGCAGGGGGGTGGGCGCGGGGCTTACCAGGGGCGCGACAGTAGGGGCCGCGTCAGCAGAGGGGCCGCGACAGCAGAGGGGCCGCTGCAGCAGAGGGGCCGCTTCAGCAGAGGGGCCGCGTCAGCAGAGGGGCCGCGTCAGCAGAGTGGCCGCGTCAGCAGAGGGGCCGCTGCAGCATAGGGGCCGCTCCAGCAGAGGGGCCGCGACAGCACGGGGGGGGGGGGGGGGGGGGGCGCAACTGCAGAGGCCGCGACAGCAGGGGTTGTGACGGCAGGGGCCGCGACAGCAGCAGGGGCCGGGACGGCAGAGGCCGTGACGGCAGCAGGGGCCGCAGCGGCAGACGGGGCCGCGATAGCAGCAGGGGCCACGATAGCAGCAGGGGCCGCGACTGGCAGTAGGGGCCGCAACAGCAGCAGGGGTCGTAACAGCGGCAGGGGCCGCGTCGGCAGTAGGGGCCGCGACGGCTGAGAGGGGCCGCGTCGGCTATGAGGGGCCGCGACGGCCGCAGGGTCCGCGTAGGCAATAGGGGCCGCGACGGCAGTAGGGGCCGCGGCGGTCACAGGGGCCGCGTAGGCAATAGGGGCCGCGTCGGCCGTAGGGGCCGCGACTGCAGTAAGGGGGGGGGGGGGGCACGACTGTAGTAGGGGCCGCGACAGCAGGGCAGGGGCAGGCGCGAAGCGCGCTGCGGTCAGGGCAGGAAAAAAAAATGTTACGATTTTGGTGGGCCCTAAAAAAAACGTTCCCACAAGGGAACTTGCTCAGAATACCATGTCAGAATCAAAAGAAGGAATGAATGAACTAGGCAGCAGGTGGGTACAAGTATGAAAACCTAAAAGTGTTGTACCCTGTATTGACTACCCCACTACAGCCTAGATAGACTATAGCAGATATGTTTGACATCCGCGACGGGCGACGGGATGGGGGGGCGACGCGCGGGCCCCCAGGGCTCCGCGACGGGCGACGGGCAGGGCGATGCGCGGACCCCTAGGGCGCCGCGACGGGCGACGGGCAGGGCAGCGCGCGGGCCCCCAGGGCGCCGCGTGAGGCAGTAAACCGCCGCGCGCCTCGGGGCGCACGGCGGGCAGAAAACCGCCGCGCGCCCTGAGCGCGTGGTGGGAAGAAAAAAGCGTCGCGCGCCACGGGGCGCGCGACAGACACGAAAGCAGCGGAAGCTTAGGGTGGGCCCACATGTTAGGATCGAACGAGCTCTTAATACCATATCAGAATAGCAGGCAGAACGAGGAGCCATAGCTAGGGTTTAGCTAGCTAGGCAAGAGAAAATAGGCAAAGGAGGAGGTTTGCACTAGCAAGCAGGTGGATACATATAGGAAACCCTAAGAGGGCGTACTCACTATAGAGTACCCCACTGCAGGCTAGACAAACTACACAGTCTAACATCGATAATATGTTTGGTAAAAAAAAAAAAAAAAACGGGTACGCAAAGGGTGTTTTCACGTGTTTGATAAAACGTTTCACGGAATCAGTCACAATCAACTGGGAAAAAATAACGCGAATGGTCACAGATGAAACTCGCGCCAAAAAAAGATAATAATACCCAAAACGAACCTGGATGGATTTTCGGATGAACCAACCCTGAACACAACTCGCCAGGTGTTTAGGGTTGATCCGTTCCCAAACCGCATCCGATTCCGATTGGGTTTTAGTATTTTTAGAAATTAGCTGATTGGTTGGGCGCGAGCGGGAATTTTGTAGAGTTTCAAGAAATTTTGGCGGGAGTTACATGTGTGACCATTCTCGTGATTTTTCATTTACCAACTTAAAACCAGGGTGCACATTCAACGCGGTTCGGCTTGAGATGTTGGGAAGGGGGTTGGAGAAAAACAGTGATTGGCTCACGAGGGGCGACAAAAAAATGATTCCGCTAGAGCTTCGGGCATTTCGTAGGTGGCGGGAGGGGGTGAAATGGCGGGAGTGGGTGAAACCGAATGGCGGGAGGGATGAAGCAGATTGGCGGGAGGGGGGGGAAACGAAATTGCGGGGGAGGGGGGAAACAAAATTGCGGGGGAGGGGGGAAACGAATTTCGACGGGGAGGGGGAAATGAAATTGCGGGGGCGTGGGGAAACGAAATTGCGGGGGAGGGGGGAAACGAATTTCGACTTGAAGGGGTTGAAAGCACACCTCGTAACCCACTCAGTCAAGGGATAACCTTTGATGCACATTCAGCTGAATGTGCACCCCGGTTTTAATGTCTGTGTCTGAATCCGTGACCCCACTTACCAAACCCGTCAGCAAACCCGATACAGTGACCGTACGCGTTACTTTTTTACCATTCACGTTATCGAGTCCCATGATGGTTACTGGTGACATATTTTCCCTTACTGGATTCCTTCTGCTGACCAGTCAAAAACTGTCGGCGCATTTGGATGTACTGTACTTTCGCCAATCTTCCCCTGCCCGACATCCGTACACTATGAACCCCGAACATGAAAATTGCTGGGGGCTTGTTCATTCTACGTATAGCTTGTAATACGGTAAATTCCGGTTTGAACGAAAGATACGTACAGACTCGCCAGTTTCGGGCAGAGACGGAATGCAGAAATGATGTTCTTGTTGTGCTGAAAAATGACGACTTCTTCGGGAAACAAAATGCTTCCATTCCAAATGTTTCCTGGGCTTGGCTGGTCTCCGCGGACCGCGACCCACACTGTTCAATGGTCTGACCAGTCTCTCCCCCTCACACTTCCGCTAGTCTGCACAGCGCGACCTTGGTTGTTTGTGCGCCAACTGGGAATGCTCTCGACTCAAGTCTCTTGCACAAATACCACTGCCGCATTCCCTCATTCACCAGCAGAACAAATTTCAGCAACCACTCACACACACTGCATTCGTAGCTTCCTTCTGAATTCGACATTCTTGGCGTTACTTGCTTCGATCGTCAGCAACGATGACGCGCGCCGGTCTTATTCCTCTCCTCGTCCTGCTCCTCGTCGCGCCTGGTATGCTCGTAGCTCATAAATACTCGTCTACTAAATTGGTCCAGCGTAGACGCCTACTGCCCAGCCCTGTTCGAATTAAATAGTTGGACAGCGCTCCCTTTCCTGGACTGTCACATGTGTTACTTCGGGTGTCAATGTGTCATTACGTATCTCAACGCGTGAAATTACAACATCCAATGTCGCATTTTTTCTTACGCTGCCTGCGCAGTTCTTGGTCACGGGGGAGGTGGCCCCGGTGGTTTTGGCGGCGGCCGCGGAGGTGGCGTAAGGGGCGCGCACGGCCCGTTGATCGACGCGTCCGTCACCGGCAATCTCACAGGTGCTGCGAACGCACCATCTGGCAAGCATCTGTCCGCGAGATTCGTAAATGCCGTCACAATGCGATGCCGAATTCTCTATTTTTTCTCTGAATTTTCCGTTCACTTTCAGATGCCAAACGTGCGCTGTTCTCTTCCCCCCCCTCCCCCGAACCCCCCACTTCCCCCTCCCCTCCCCTTCGTATCCTCTGCAGGCCGCGTGGGCGCGTGGGTCTCCAACTGCACGGCGGACATCGGCGCGACTCGCGGAAATTCCTGCTCGCCGTCTTTAAGGACGAGTTGTCGGGCTCCGCCGTCTACAACCTCTATTTCGACGCGGATCTCGACGAGTACAGCGGCACCGCGCCCGACACGATCAGCATCGTGCAAGGCGCCGCGTGCGACTCGACCGCCACCACCGCCCTCACTCTGCCGTCCACAGGCTGGGCCACCGAGACGCGCGGCGGGCGCGGCGGGTCGCACACGGAGCTGCGCGTGACGGGCACCGTGGAAGGCGCGGACGCGACGGTCGTTGAGGCGATTCTCGCGGGCGTGCCGAACGCGACGGTGACGCAGAACGTGTTCACCAAGGTGATCAACGGCGCGAAGCAGGGCTTCCAGAACGCCTTCGGCGGACGCCGCCGCGGGCGCGAGCTCGCGGTGAACAACGCGGGGAAGCTGACGCAGCAGTTCCTGAAGCGCCAGCGCCAGCGCCTCGCGTGGATGGGCGCAAAGACCAAGGCGCTGTTCGCGACGTTCATCGGGACCACCGACACCACGACTGATTCGCCCTACGCTGTCATTTTTACCGACAGCACGACCGGCAACTCCTGGAGCGCCGCGCTCACTGGGAACTTCGGCAAGTGTGGCGGTCACGGCGGGCGTGGTGGTAACGGGCCTGACGGTGACGGCGATGGCCCTGGTGGCGCTGGTGGCGCTGGTGGCCGTGGTGGTGGCTATTAGAGTGACGCTATGAACTCAACTGAAATGTGAAGGCGGTTTTGATTCAAGCGTGGATCACGGAAAGGAGTGAAGGCTAGCATTTTGGGGGAAAGCGGCATTTGAGGGGACAATTGGGATGGGGTTCAGAGGGAAGGGGGGAAGGCGGAATAGTGGAGGTGGGGGGGATGTGGGGTTTTGTTCGCGTGGGGTCTTTTGTCGACTTTTTGAGAGACTCGGTGATGGACGCTTCGTTATTGTCCTCTAGAGTCGACCCAAGACAACCACTTTTGTGTGTGTATGTGTGTGTGTGTTTTTTATTTGGTCTCACAATTATCACCCTTCTCCTTATACGGTAGAAGAACAGAATGAACTAAAATGAATCGTAGGACTTACAATTACTGGTACATACTCTGGAATTACAGCCCGCACAATGTCTTTTGGCTGCATCTTCCACTTCCCACAAGCATGGATGACAAATAATTATATTAATGTTACAATGCTTGTCAAATAGAGCATAAACACATCAGCCTCTCACTGCTGCTTAACTTTACTGAACCGCACCAGGAGCAGAAATGTGACAAACCGCACAAACACCCCAAAACCCAACAGCACCGCCACGTTCTCCCACATGTTAAGCTGGTTCACTGACAGTGTAGTCGTAAGCAGTTGATGCCCATCCTGCAAACACGTGCTTGAAGTGATTTTGCTATAAGGGGTACCGGCCAAAACCTGCCGCATGCCCAGCATGGCCTTGTTGATTCTGGTTGAGTTTAGATATGGCGCCACAGGTGTATTGTCAAACATTGTGCCAGCTTCCAGGTAACATGGACCTCCGGGCCTGTTGAGGTGATTCAGGGAGGAAATGGAAATTGGGACAGGGGTTGAGGAGTGGGAGACGGTGGGGAAAGATGGTGAGGAGTGGGAGATGATGGGGAAAGAATTAAAAATAGGAGATGGTGAGAAGTGATGCCATTTACATCATTCCACCCATACTAATCTACCCAGGAAATGAATGCCGATTGCTCACCTGCCAAACTCGTTGATTGCCAGGGCCTCATAGGCGTATTTCATGGGTGAGAGGTAGTGCAACCACATCCACACTTCCGGGATGCTCTCCCTGTCGATGTAAAAGCCGCTGAGGAGAGCGAAATATGCCATGAGAGCAATGGCCACTGCATAGGCCAGCACGACACTGGAGAGAGGGAGGAAGGGAGGGAAGGAAGGCATACGGGAAAAGGGAAAATGAGGGTGCGTACAGAGGTGCAAGGGATACACTGACTGCTGATGTGGAATCCCGTGAAAAGTGGAGGAGGAAAGAGGGAGGGAGGAGTGGAGAAGAAAGGAGGGATGGTTCAGTCTCTGTTTAACCCCACACTCACTGGTTGACGCAGATGCTGACGCACGTGGCAATGGCATTCCCCGTGAAGAGCATGGCAAAGCACGCAAGCACCATGAAGCAGAAGCCTTGCGCTCCCCCCTGCAAGCCTAGGCACCACCAGGCCTCGAGCACGAGCGTGAGCGCCATGAGCAGGTGCAGTGGCAGGTAGACGAGCGTGGAGGAGAGCAGGTACGTGGACGGGCGGTAGGCGCTGCTGCTGGTCTCCCGCAGGAAGATGTTCCGCTCCTGAGACAGGGGGAGGTGGGGGAAATGGGAAGTTGAGGGTTGGGGAGGTAGGGAGAGAAGGCAGGATGTAAAGGGTGAGCAGGTGAAGGGGCAGGTAGACGAGCGTGGAGGAGAGCAGGTAGGTGGACGGGCGGTAGGCGCTGCTGCTGGTTTCTCGAAGAAAGATGTTTCTCTCCTGAGAGAGGGCGGCGGAGGGGGAGGACGCATGGCATGGGATGGCATGGCATGAGATGGCATTGTATGGGATGGCATGGCATGAGATGGCATTGTATGGGATGGCATTGTATGGGATGTCATGGCGTGGGATGGCATGGCATGGGATGGGAATAGGAAGGAACATGAAATCTATCGACGGCACACACACCTGGATGAAGATGGGAACGGCATCACAGGAGACGAAGAAAAGCACGCAGATGGCGAAGGAGAAAAAGGCCAGCCGCTCCTGAAAGCCCTTCATGCTGGCAAAGGGTGGGGTGGGGTGGGGTGGGGTGGGGCCATGGGCATGGATGGGAGGCAAGGGAAGAGAGGGAGATTGGAAAACTTGCTCTCTGCTTTCCTCCAGCTCTCTCATACCTCTTCCAATTCTGCTTCCCCAAGGTCCTTTTTTTGAACTCACTCCGTTATACCTTCTCATCCACTTCCTTCCAAGCAATTTCACTGTACCTATCGTTTGGTTGGTAGAAGATGGTTGCGAGCATTATCCCCGTTATAGCAATCAGGCCCAGCCGCAGAAGGTACAGAGCGGGCGTGCGAAACGTGATCAGGGCGTTCCGTCTCGTCAGCACCGCCAGCTCGGCGAACCATCCGTTACCATACTTGTGCGTTTCGTCAACCCCGCTTTCTCGTCGCCGCGTCTTCCCCCTTGCCCCTATTCTCCCCCACCACGTAGCCTTCCCGCTTTCGCCATCCCGATTCGCGACGCCCGTCTCCACATCCTCGTTAGTGCCTCTCTCTTTTAGCACGCTCGGAAGTTGGAAATATCTGGAGTTCCAAAATCTCGATGCTGCAGCCGCGCCTCCGGTTCTCGCACTTTCCGGCGATGCTGCTTCTGTGTTGAGGCCCTGCGATTGTAAAACACCCTCTGATTGAGGGTTACACCGCAGCGCAGCCTCTTCTTCCAGCTTCCCTAGCTTCCTTTCCCGCTCCTCCTCTTCCTCTTGCTGCCTCTCATATTCCCGCGCGAATTCCACCAAGTCCGCGACACCGCGGCTCGACCGCTGCATATCCTCGATAAGATCCAGCGCGTACTCGGTGCTGTTAGCGAACTGCGGCACGGGGAACCCGACTGACTCGAGGAAGCGCGGCAGCGCGGGAGGCGCGCCATGAAAGACGGCGTGGCCCGACGCGAGGAGGATCAGGCGGTCTACAAGGCCGAGAACGCGGAAACTGGGCTGTGGGGAGAAAGGAAGGAGAAAGGCGGGAGAGGGAGGAGGGATGTGAGAAGAAGTGTGGGGAGGAAGAGGGATGGGGGGATAAGCGAGTCGAGGAGGGGGGGGCGATTGGTCGACGAGCCTGAGAACGCGGAAGCTAGGCTGGAGACGGGGAGGGGGAAAGCGTTCAAATTATCACCGTGTTTAACGCCGAATGGCTCGGAAATAAGCCAGGGCAGCTGAAGCGGTTTGCACAGAGAGGCGGAGATTCGGCAGAGCAACGCGAAGGAGGGTCGCACCTGGTGCAGCACCATGACGGCGATGCTGTTCGTGTTGGTCGCGATGTCTTTAATCGCCCGCACCACGCGGAACGCGCTCGTCGAGTCGAGCCCCGACGTGGGCTCGTCGAGAAAGAGAATCTTCGGGTCGCAAATGATCTCCGTGCCGATCGCGACGCGCTTCCTCTCGCCACCAGACACGCCCCTGAAGTTGGATTGCAACCCCAAAAAGTACCGAGAAAATTGGTATAATCCTCATTTCCGCCACTTCTGCCAATCCCAGCAAAGAACCAAGACAGAATCCAAGGGTTCTCGTATGATCCCTGACGATGGTGACAGGCACTTTTCCAGAAGTCTTCCTTACCTTTGTCCCTCGTCCCCGATCTTCGTTTCCGCCACTTCTGCCAATCCCAGCAACTCGAGCAACCGCGCTACCTTCGCCGCCTTCTCCTCCCGCCTCACGCTCTGCGGCAGGCGAAGCTCCGCGGCGAACATCAGCGTTTCGCGCACCTGGTTACCACACGCCACGAAAAGGTGACGAAGAATTAGCCCGTGTTCTTTAGTCAGAAAGCTAAGAAAGGACGACAATATGTCGCACATACCGTGAGCGACGGGAACATGAGGTCGTCCTGCATCACATACGCCGAGACTCGTCGCATCGTTCCGCTTCGCACGGGTAACCCGTCAAGCTCCACTTCGCCCGCTCGCCGATCCGATGCTATACGGCACGCCAAGATGTTCAGCAGCGTCGTTTTCCCAGCTCCACTGGCCCCCATAATCGCTGTGATCTGCCCCGATTTTGCGCTGCCGCTGATGTCGACGAGAATTCTACGGCTGGAACTACTTCTCACGCCAATTCGCCTGGAAATCGAGCGCTCCAAAGAGCGTAGCTTGCTGCCAGAACCTGAAAACCTGTCTGAGTCGTGGGCTGTCCGCCCTATGTCCGCTGCTGAATGGCTGATTACGGGTTTGAGATTATCGGTACTACTGCCACTACCATTGCGACCAGCGTCGACGTGTATGTGAATTTCGTCGCTCGCCGCGCTTTCGTCGCTAGGCAGCGGCGCGATTTTCGAAGTGTTGATCTTACAGAACACGTTTTTTCGAGCTCTCGATGCGACAGAGTGCGAAAGGTTACGAAATCGCAACACAGATGTAACCCCACAAGGCGCAAACGAACCTTCGCCCGTGTCGCACATCCCTCCACCTCTTCCGCTCCCGGGGTCGCAATCGCGACCAGCCTCTGCATGATCGCACGCCGACGACGATGACGACGTCGTCGCAGAGTCGTCTGGCGACTCATCTGACTCAGGATCGCGGGGAAACTGCAGCGGCCGTGTCGTCGATTGCCCGCGCCCCCCGAGTACGGGATACGGCGCACAGCGGATTTGATCCATAGCAATTGAAGCATCTGTCGCAATCGCACGGCGCATCGGCTCTCGAACGGCTGAGCTATCTGCCGCCGCTACGTGCCCCATCCCTCTGTTAACCTGCCCGCCACCTCGTGCAAGGCCATCATCAGCTGCTTCTGCTGTAGCGAGGTCCTTGGCCAGCTCACCATCGGGCGGCGTGTCTGCGGATGGAAATCTATCTTGAGCCCACGACCTCCCGCCGGCTACGGTAGCCATTACTATTAACAAGTATAGTGAGTAGTAATCTGGTTCCAATCTAGTGAATACCTTTTGCGGCGCCTATATTTTTTTCGATCCAGACGCTGGTGGAAGCCTAAGAGTTTGGAGGTTACGGCCAGCTAGCCAAAGAGCATTAGATAAGCGTGGTCGTAAATAGCGCCTGATACTGACAAGCGATTTCTGTCAGAGGCAACATTACCACTGTCATGGTGAAAGCAAACTTCTGGCACGACTACGATGACTTCGTGCCACGACTTTGCCCTTGTCTGGCGGTTGCTGGTCGGTTGCGGGGTATACTCAAGGGAACTCTAGTTCACTATAAGGGGCCGTAACCGTAAGGACAGGCAAAACCAGCACGGACCTATCACGAGCAAGGTCCAGACTTAGAAGGTGACATGTGTTGTAGGACGTTGGGGGGTGAGGTCCAGCTCTGTCAAAACCAGTTGTAGCTTGCCGACATGGTTCCTCTTTGCTGAGAAGGGTCACGGAACTGAATGCTGTGCCCAGTTCGAGCGTGAAATTTGCTGGGAAGATTAGGAATTTTGATATTCCAAGGAATCCGCGGCTCGATTTTCGCTTGTTGCGGTACGGGCTCCGAAACAAACTGACATGATTAAAGATTGCGGCACGATGGTGTAATCGGACGGTTGAACAAGAGGGAAAAACTGTGGAAGTGCTCGTTAGAGGGGGAACATTTTTCGCGAGTGCGAGTGGCGAACCGCAGGTTTCTAAATTGCACACGTGGACATGCTGGTGCTTCCCCCCCGTCGCGCTTCTCGGGAGGATTCTGACTCACCCCCTCACAAGCCCACATCGTGGTCGTACACACGACAAGGAATCACGGATTTTGGCAGCTGGCTACAAGAATCGATATTGAGACAATCGCGTATATTTTCAAGTATCGAGATGGAACGAGGATTGCACTGTTTAGCTTCATTACACACACCTAGAAAAGCCTGCAAAATATTTTGTAGTTTACGCGGTGGAATAAAGGGATAATGTCGGTGTGATTCAATTTCCCTCGTTTTTTTATTCTAATATGACTAACGAGGTACCATATCGACACGCCAGATAGTTTTTTTTTTGCTCTGTTCCATCAATGCTCGTTGTAGTTTAACATTGTCTGTATTCAAGACTGGCTGCTCAGTAGCGAAGATAATTAAACTCTGCTCGTTGACCAATGACCAGCCTCTCCAAACAGCTGATCCGCGACTGCGTTCCTTGAGCATCCGCTTTCTTGCTCGAGGCTGGAATAAGACTGGAACGCCTCCAAGTGCGGCATAACGCAAACCGACGGAAAACCAAAGCCTAGTTTGGGCTGCTTCTTTGTTTCCACCCTACATGAGTCACAATTGTTTTTGGTTCACATTGCGCCTACATGTGAAACATCGCACCTGGAACCGAACAATGGACACGACTTCAGAGCGGAAATCCCAGTCGCACAAGCCCCGTCAAGTGAACGCATGTCCAACGCGAAATCTAGCCAGCTTGGGCTCTCTGAAGGTGATCCCTCGAAGCCAAGAGAGCCCTCGTATGCTTCTTCGTCAGGTTTAGCCATGGGAGAATCCGAAAGTAAGGAAAAACACCTCAGCAATAATACCCAGCTTCGACAAGGCCTAAAGGATCTGGATTCTCAAGTGAGATTAGCTCCTACTGCATCACAGGCACGGTACCTACTTGCATACTTCCAAATCACAGATCAGCATGCGGGTGGTGCTTGGTGTTTTTCGTATATGAGCGACTTTTAGCTCAGGAGAAGGAGATCTCGTCATTTTAGCTCTGAAGGAGATATCGTTTCATACCTTCAGTCCCTTCTATCAATCTATATAAGTTCAGATGGAGCGTCTCTCACACATAGATCGACTTCCAGATGACCTCCTTACGAGGATTTTATGGTTTCAGGGTGCGACGCCTTCCGAAAAGGGTTATAAAGCTTCATGCGTCTGGCTTCCTCATTGGCATTTTGAGGCTAACACGCTTACTTCTCCAGCAGATGCAGCTTACAATCTGCTCATCGCGTCCGTATGCAATCGCTGGCGTCTTCTAGTTAAACGTCAGGTCACCAGCATGTTAGTCCAAGAGAACCTTTTCGTATCTTGTCAAGATCTGGCCAGCGCTGTCGCTTGTTTCGACAACCTCACGAATCTTCACCTTAGCGACGGCAGTGTCGACATGATTGACAACGCTTTTCTCGCTCGTCTTGCTTCGTCACGGCCTAAGCTGAAAGCTCTTCACGTGGGTCGCGGGAGTGTGGAGGAAGCAAGGATGAGCATCCAGTTACTGAAGCTGGCTTGGAGATTCTCTTTCTCAACTGCACTCAGCTCGAGGAAATAACACTTCACTACCTCCATAAAGATACTGACTTACCGATTTTATTTTTTCAGCTGCAGCATCTCCACACAGTTTCTCAAAACAACGTTTCAGCCTTGACATTCCCCAGATTTGGAAAACATTCTTCTCTCACATCCCTCCATATAATTGTTTCCAAATTGACACATCAGCAGTTATCAGGCCTCACTCCAAGACTCTCCAGACTCTCAATTTCCAGTGAAACCTGCCTCCCCAAGAATGATCCACCAGCTGCAATTTTCCCCGTTGCTCAGCTACCTTGTCTCGAATCACTTGAGTCCCAGATTCCCACTCTAAGCTTCGCTTCAATGTTCTCTACAGGATCACCATGCATTCGCCTAGAACAGCTGGTGATCTCCAGATCCGCCAACCTCCACAGCCTTTCCAATGACATTGGAGAGCTGTTTCCTTGCCTGCATCAGCTGACCATTAGAGATTGTTTCCGGCTCGACCAACTCCCGGATAATATCACAGCCCTATCTGGATTAAAGTGCGCGACTATTACTGGGAGCCACCAGCTTCGCAGCCTGCCAGAGGACTTTGGACAGATGCCTGCTCTCAAGACTCTGATGCTGGAGAATTTGCCTCTTCGCAAGCTACCTGACTCCCTCTGCCAAGCTACATCTTTGGAAAAGCTGGTTCTGCATGACTGCTGTTGGATCGACCAGCTGCCAGCAGATTTTTGCAGCCTCATATATCTCAGGACACTGAGTCTAAAAAGCATTTGGCTGAAGGTGCTTCCAGAGAGGATTGGATGGCTCAGCAACCTCGAGAATCTTCAACTGCATCATTGCACAAAGCAGCGGCTCTTTCCTTCCTTTGCTCAGCTGATTTCTCTAACGAGTCTTGAGCTTGGCAAGTGTGCAGTTACAGTGCTTCCCGAGGGTCTGGACAATCTGATTAACCTGCAACATCTGAACATTCATGACTGTGATGCTCTCACGGAGATACCTGATTCCATTGCAGGTCTCACCAGCCTTGTGACCTTGATCATTGAGGGTTGTCAACAGCTCTCTTTGCTGCCAAGAAGGCTAAGTAGCCTCATGGAGCTGAAGTGTTTGAGGATAACCAGGTGCAGTCAACTGTGTGGATTTCTCATGTCGCTGCCACGCTTACTTGAGGTTATGTCTTGGTTCTGCAACGGTCAGGCTGATTCACCGCGTCAGATCTCCCTGCCGCCTTGCCTGAGGGACTTGGAGCTGGGGTTGGCAGACAACGTCCATGAGTTTCCGATCCCCTTAGGATCACTTTCTCAGCTCCGCATCTTGAGTATCCTTGATGCTAACATGATTCAAACCCTCCCACGAAGCTTCGGTTCGGCTTTGCAGCAGCTATGGGATTTGCAGATTTTTGGCTTCAAAGAGCTTAGGGAGCTGCCAGAGACATTGTCATAGCTCCACCACCTGAGATCATTAGAGTGTCAAAATACAATTGCATGTCTGTAGGCTGTAGTGGGGTAGGATAGCCCATATAGGGTACAACACTTCTAGGGTTGCCTACTTGTATTGCTCCCAA